ATTGCATGTATGGGTCCATGATTTGGTATAGCCCCTATATAACAGTACCTCCCGATATTCGGTATTTTGATGGTTTTTGATATGTTTTTTCACTGATTTGTCTAAAAATTGGTATTTGTGGGTCATAATGGGTCCTAGTTCGTGTGGCGAAACATTGTAATTATAGGTCCACGTTTTGATGTAGCCCCCATATAACGGTAACTCCTGATATTCGGCATTTTAATGGTTTTTGCCACATTTCTTCTAATGTTTCTTTTACCCTAAGGTGGAGGGTATTAAAAGTTTGGCCCGGCCGAACTTACTGTTTTTTTACTTGTTCAATCTCAATCAGAAAATCTTATAATTTCAATTTTCATAATTATTTTTAGACTATGAAAGAAAAATAAACTCTTACCAAAAAAAAAAAAACAAAAACAATGTAAGCAAAAGTCAAAAGTCGGGCGGGGTCGATTATATGATACCCTATACCACTATGCATATTTAGTAGAGCTTTACGGGAAAAGAATTTATTTGAAGTAGATCATACCCCTATCAACATTAGCTTTAGAGCAGTTATAGTTTGCTATAGAACGGATGATATCAAGCAAAAGTACTCACAAAACCTCCCTGTTGAAAATTGCAGACAATTCCATACAATATAAAATACCGAATGTCGAGGGTGCCGTTTTATGGGGCTATATGATATAGTGGGCCGTTATAGCCCGTCTTCGAACCTGAACTGCCTGCAGACAAAAGACTCATCTGTGCAAAATTTTAGCTTCCTATCTTAATTCGTTTTGACTCTAGTGTGAGCACAACAGACGGACGGAAGTCAAGAATATATATACTTTGCTAGGTCTAAAGTTATTATTTCGATGAGTTACAAACGGTATGACAAACTCAATATACTCTCCATACTATGTATGGTGGAGGATGTAAAAACGGTAACAAACACTTCAAAACAATTCAAAATAAGAATTTATGTTTGTGTGTGTTTATTGAGCCCTTAGCCAAATGCAAATGGATAATAATCTGTACATTTTGGAAATACGAAATCTGGCTGTAATATGTGACGTCAAAAAGTTCAATGCATTCCTATTTTTGGAAAATAAATTTTCAAATGAAATGCAGCTTAATTTGATCACTTTTAATCCCATTTGTTAATTTGCGCCTAATTAAAGAAAACGTATTTTATGCTGCACGAATTATGATGACAAAAACAGATACTATAAATAATAATTGGGGTGTCAAGTAATTTAGTGTGTCATTATTAAAAAATAAATAAATAATAATTATAATAATAAATAAATAAATGATAAAAAGAATAAATAAATAAAACATTTACAGCGTCACTTTTAAGAAATTTGAAAGTCGAAAAAATAAAAAGACTGCGAAAGATGTGCAGTATGTCTTTTTATATTTGTGAATCAGGTTAGTAAATTTATAACTTCTTCACTTATTATAACATGATTATTCGTACTAAACCTTCAAGAGTTAAGGGTTTCAGTTCTGCTTGTCTGTCTGTCCATGTATTCTTGTGAACAAAATACAGGTCGCATTTATTATCCGATTGCGATGAAATTTTCCAAACAGCACTTGTTTGTCCCAAGGGCGAACCCTATTGAAATTTGTGATGATCGAATCAAATTTAGATATAGCTCCAATATATCTTCAATCGATTTCGGGTTGAAGATATGCACCAAATAGCCAATATCAGTCCAAATGACCTGAATTTTGGCGTATCCGACCGAATTCAGTCTAGAAGCAAGTACATTAATATATAGCTCCCATATAGATGATTCATCCAATTTCGTGTTTAAGTCCTTCACATTCGTAATATGCACTACACTACAATAATCATTAGTACCAGATATCAGATACAGCTTGCAAAAAGTGTTTAAAATGTTGTCAAGTTCGGTTCAGATTTGGATATAGCTCCCATAAATATCTTCAACCGAATTTGGGGTTTTTGTGCACCAAATGGCCAATATCAGCCCAAAGTGTTTGAATTTTGTTACTTCCGACCGAATTCAGCCTAAAAGCAAGTGCTTCAAATTTTGGTGAAAATCGGTTCAGATATAGCTATAACTTCCCTATATATATATATTTCATGCGATTTGGTGTTAAAGCCAATCACATGCCTAATATGCACTCCCAATATGTTATGATATATGATATGTCTTCATCATTTTGCACACATGTGTATTTTGTTAGTTGGCAGGTTAAGTTTGAAAATGGGTCATGTCGGTCAACGTTTTCGTATAGCCCCCATATATTGGTACCTGTAAATATTCGGTATTTTGATGATATTAGCGACATAATTCAACGGAATTGTTTTAAATTTCATACCCATATAACGGGTTTCATTTAAAGCCTATTTTTCGACGACGTTTTTATAAAGTTTTTGAAGTTCGTTCCAAATGTTGGAAGGTATTAAAAATTCGGCCTGGCCGAACTTAGGTAATTTTTTAATTGTTTTTTTTTTTTTTTTTGCAGCAATGAGTGTATATGCGATTTATTTTTTGGTACATTTTTAAAGAGGTACCAGATAGAGTGGACATATATATTTCATTTTCGCAGATTCTGTAATAAATCTAATAAATAATCTTCATACAAATCTTGTGGTAGACATATTGGTATGTGCCATGTTTGAAGATTAACGAATGCTCTTTTCATATTTTTGAGCGTTGTGGTTACACAAAATTTTGATTTGTTGTAGGGGAGATATCAAAAGAAGTTGTCCGTTCTATCCTATTTGATCTCAAGATGGTAGAAATATTGAGAAATATTCAAAATTTTGTGTGGGAGACACCAAAAGTGGTGGGCCGATATCGGTCATTTTTCCACCTAACCTAGCATTGATAAAAAGTTGCGATATTTCAAGTTTGAACGAAGTTCCTTTGACAAATTAATTTTTTGTGGTTTTGTTAATTTTTATTATTCATAGGCGTACATCGGCTCGCTTCGCTACTCCTTTCGTTTTAAATGCATTCAAAATTTTAATCTTTTTTACAAAATTCCGTTACACATTTCAAATTTCATTGAAATTGGAGATACATAGGGTGTTTAGTGCATCAAATATATAAATTGTAAAATATATATGGGAGCTATATGTACTTCTGAAACGATTTGAATATAATTTGGAAATTTTATTTTAGCATCAAATTCCGTTACACATTCGAAATTTCTATGAAACGATTTCAATATAATTTGGAAAATTTCTTTTAGCATCAACTTCCGTTACACATTCGAAATTTCATTGTAATGGTATATAGCATGGTTGGTGCATCAAAAGAATGACATTGGCCTAAAAATTTTATGGGAGCTATATCCAAATCTGAACCGATTTCCATATAATTTGGTAAATTTAGTTTTGCATCAAATTCCGTTACACATTCCAAAGGCTGTATCTATCCGATCAAAAGATATTTGCTTACAAAAACTAAATTTTATAGTAGGTACCTCCGATTCTGAATCTGTATCCCAAGTGGAATTTCAGGTGATGTTATAATATGTCTGGAAATTTTCTGGAAAATCTCTTTAGCGGTTTTTAAGTCTATAAATTAAAAATAAACAAACAAACAATCTAACGCACAAACATTTTTCTCTTTTATAGATATAGATCAGAACTGGAAGGAGTAAACCAATATTACTCATCTTCGAATTAGATCTAAGTTTGAGAGACTTATCATGCTTGCCATCCAGACATACAGTTTTGCCATATCAAATGGTATATACCCACTGTAACAATATGACTGAGGGTATAAAAAGGATCATAATATCGAAAAGTAAATTTATGCCCAAATCGTTTAGCCTTTGTAATTTCGAGTTTATCGATAGAATGGTTTAAAGGTTTATATAATATTTTAATTAATATTATTTATGTCGACAATATGGGTCAAACAACGACACAATCACTTTTGGGAAGCAACATAAGTTCCCTGGATATCTTCGAATATGTTCTGCGTAGGAATGTTTTTCTGCCATTTTCTGAGAATTATTTTAAAATTTCAAAAACAATTGCTTTCGTCCCAATTTGCGAGTACAAAGTTTTCCGCAAAGAAAAGTGCATTTTGGAGAAGGTAGTTAGTTAAATAAGGCAAACTTCACTTTTTCTTCAGAATTTCTTCTTTCCTACCGGAATATTTATTTTTTATTGTTTGTTTGTTCAATAAAACTTTGAGTTACCAACTTATAAATATTTGCACAACCCTTTGACTGACTGAACGACTGATTTTTGCTGGTCTTAGCACTCCTCCTTTTATTTTAAATTCTTCGAAAAAAAATTGTTCGACAATTTTCTTGTTTTTTTTTTTTTTTTTTTAATAATATTTATAATAATTTTATGTGATATATTTTAAAGGCAATTGTCTTTTTTTCAGGCTTTATTGAGAACTATTGGATTTCTGTGGGTTGATACTTTCGAAATGCTCTACCGTTTTTAGTAGTTTTTAATTTTTTCCGTGATATTTTATTTCAAAGAGTTTTTAAAGAATTTTAAAAATAAATTGAAATTAATTTTTATTTAAGCTAAAAGTCCTTTCATTAAATACTAACTCTTAAGATTCTTCGATAAAAAATTAATTTTTCAATAAAAAAAAAACTTTATTTGACCTAGTTTCGTAACTGTTCGTTGCACATTTTTGATATTGACTTTCATAAATTCACATTTAAAATGTCACGCCAAGGGTAAAATTTTCTAAAGACAAATTTTATCACTTTATTTTAAAGTCAAGATGCATTTTCAATATTTGAAAGTAATACGGAATTTGTCAGCATTCTTCAACATCATCATATTTTCTATTAATTTCTGTTATAAAATATATTTCACCACTATTTTTCAATATTTTTTTTTTTTTTTTCAATTCAAAACTAAACCAATTGTTAAAAAATGGCTTCAAATGTTACATACTTTCCCAAAAAAAAAAACTAGAGTTTGTTGAAACTACTTAAATATTTAATTTTCTTATTGAAAATCCACCAAATTACATAAAATTTTAAAAATAAAAATTTTAACTCACTTTGTTTGAAAATTTTACAAATTTAAAACCTCTTTCAATTTTCCGAGTCCTTTGTGACAATTTTTAATTAATTTTTTTCGCTTTTCTTATTACACTTCACTTGCGAAAAATCCTTTAACACTTTAAATTCAAACACCAAATTATGTTTTTTTTCTGTGGCTTTCAAAAATCTTTTATCCTTTTGAGACGTTTTCGGTTTATCTCTCTCTCTTTGGCAAGAGACCTAGCGACGACACTTGTTGAACAATGCGTTGTTAGCCGTTAAATGTTAGAATTATCCGAAATGTCAGCCGCTTTTATTTCTTCGAGCAATCACGACAACATCGGCACACGACGAATGACGAACGAAACGAACGTTGTGATAGAAAAGAGCACGCCGTTAGTTTGCAACAACAAGTGGCCAATAGTAAAACACGAAGTTAACTGTAACGAATGTTACGTTTTGGACAAGCAGCGGAAGGCAACAACAGCAGCAGTAACAACAACAATGGCCAATTGTCTCAACCATAACCACCCATATCCGAATGACTGATGATATATTCCCACAGCAGTGATAACGAAAATTCCACATAATCTCAGTGAATAAGAACGTAAGGACAATGTGTCGTCAAAGCTTTTTTCCTACAAAAAGCTTTTTTCCCTTTCGTAGTAAAAGCTCTAATGGAGGCGAGTGTATGTGTGTGTACACACAATGGCTGTGGGTGTGGTGTCACAATGCCATGAATGAACGACATTGACGGCAATTTTTATCAATGAATTTGCAGTTCTTTTCCATTTTTTGGTGGGAAACTACGTGACATCGTTTGGGTTGTGTTGTTGTTGTTTTTCTTTTTTCGGTTTTTTTCTCTGCCGAATATGACTGTTAATGACACTTTTGGGTACGCCAAATGAAAAATGTTAGTGCAATAAAATGTATCGCACACGCACTCTCGTACACTCACACATATGGCAGGACAATTTCATTGAATTGTGGTAAATTTCCACGAAAGTGAATGGCGGACAAGTCGTATAATCTGTCCTTAGAAAGGGACGTGTGATGGACGGATGAATAAAATATGTGTGATTCACACAATAAAGAAGAAAACCATTTTAAAAATGGAGGGGGATTAAAGAAGAAAACAACCGTGGAAATATTTCACTGTAGGCTTTGTCGCTTTGTAAAGTTTTGACTTGTCTTGGCATGGGGAGATAGTTATTACGTCAGATGCCCTTGAAAAAGAAAAAAAAAACATATGTCTGTTTTCGACATGCGAGGCCTGTTCAACAGAAAAAAGACATATTATGTTTTTCGGTAAGTTATTCGCCCTAATCCTACATCACATTGTGGCACAGAGTAGGAAGCTAGATAGACCTTTTCTGTGATGCGCATAGGATCGCATTCAGAGTCAATTTCTGCATATTTGTTTGTCTGTTCATCCATCTAAGAATTTTTTGTACGATGCATGTGACTATTGCATCTATTATGGTTGCCATGGATTATAAAAATGAAAAAGCTCAAATAAACAAGTAAAGAAAGTCTTAAAGTCTGGCGGGACTGACTTTTTGATACCCTACACCACTCTGCATATTTAGTAGAGCTTCGCATTGAAATCGGATAAAGTATGTGATATATTTCCCTGAATATCGTTGTTACGGAGTGCATATTACGCCTGTGGGTAACAAATACAACAAATCGGATGAACAATATATATGGGAGCTATAGCTATATCTGAACCGATCTTCAGCAAATTTGGCGTACTAGCTTCTATACTCAATTCCGTCGCAAGTGTAAATTCCATCCCATCTGGGCTAATATTACACGTTTGGTGCAGAATAAGAAGCAAATTGGGCTAATTCATATATGGGAGCTATATCCAAATCTGACACGATCTCAATAAAATTTAGCAAAGGTATTTCTGAGCTGTATTATATATTCTTGTTACAGAGTACATATTACGGCTGCGGAGGACAAAAAAAAAGAGAAACAAATCGGATGAACAATATATATGTGAGCTATAGCTATATATTAAGCCAATTTCGATCAAATTTGACATAATTATTTCCAGATCTAATTTGGTCGTATGTGCAAAATGCCATACCATTTGAGCTCGTATTACACTTTTGGTGAACAAAAAACGCAAATCGGACAAAGATATATATGGGAGCTATATCTAAATTTTGACCGATTATCTCCAATTTCCATAGGATTTGTCCTTGGGCCAATCAAATGATTTGTACAAAATAGCATCTGCATCGGTCAAGAAATGCGACCTGTACTTTGTATACAAGAATACATGGGCAGACGGATGGACATGCATAAATCGACTCAGAATCTGATTCTATGCAGATTATCAAAATGAACTATGGGTCAAACTCGTTTCCTTTTGCCTGTTACAAACAAATGCACAAAGACATAATACCCTGGTGTAGGGGGAAAACATATGTATGGGTCATTTCCTAACCAAATTGGTTTGAATTTCGCATTGTTCTAGTAGCATCTTAAGCGTATGGTTCAAAATTCAACCTAGTTTAAAAACGAAGCATAGTTGGTGGAACATTTATATTAAGCTAAAAGAGTAATGTATAAATCCGAAGCAATTTCGACCAAATTCTTCAAGCGTAGGCTTTAAATGCAATGGAGTGCATAATACGGCACATTAAAAACAAATAAGCAAAGGTCAAAAGTCAAAAGACGGGCGGGCCGACTATAGTTTACCATATACCTCTGTCCCTATTTATTAGAGCTCCCGTAACAAAAAGTTTATATTGGGAATTTATGTGAAGTACTTGTATTAAACAATTAAGCAAAGGCTATAGCCGTGCGGGGCTGACCATGTGATACCCTACAACACTATAATATATTGAAATCCTTCTAAGGCCCAAACACATTTTAGTCGATTATTTGAAATAATGAATCACATTTTCCCGCACAAATTATGCCTTTGGTTTTTTACAGCGAATATTTTCCTTGTATTTACTCTCCATGTCATGGTGATAGGTATCCAAAACAATTTCACACAAAAGTTGTGGTCCATTTTACCCTCTAAACATAATTCAAGTCGTCCAAAATGCTACACTTTTGCGCTGCCCTAGGCCCTAACCTCATGCAAAGTGCCATGTCGATTGGTTTTTAATTGTGACCTGTAGAGCCACTGCAAGTTCAGAAGAGTTTTAATTTTTGATCCATTTAAACCTCTAAATAATTTTGAAAAACCATAGGCTTTAGTTGTGACCCTAACTCTATCCCCATGCAAATTTTCTTGAGAAACGAACGTTAATAGTGACTTGAATATGATACTCCCAAAATTCAATATTGTAAGTCAAATATAAAAAAAAATCTCATGCGATAAAAAATAAGACTAAATATATCAAAAAATATTCACTTTTTTATTAGCATACTTTCACGCGATTTTCTTAAATTGTATATATTTCGCTATATATGCGTACATAGGGGTTTTGTCTAACACTATTTCCCCATTTCATTTTCCATAGAAACAAAAGTAAAATGAACAACCGTTGAATACCCTACAACACTATAATAAACCATACAGTTTATATAGGCGAGATAGTCGAAAGAATTGCACAAGATATTGCGACAAATAATAAAAGAAAACCATCATGTTTCGTTCTCTAATTTTCGAATAATAGCAACTTAAACGAACTTGCTCATTTCCAATTTATTGGTAGATGTTGCTCGTAAATGGTCTTCCTAGTTCTGGAACCAATATTTCCCAAAGACCTATAATCTCTCAGAAGTGACAAAAGATTAACATTTATTATTGGTTTTTGACTGAAACCCATCTATATGAGATACAGACATTTGACTATATTCTTCAACGAAATCAGCGTTAACGAAATAGTCAGAAGTGCGTCCTTCCGGTATTTGTGAATTCTCCAAAAAGTCACTGGAATGGTCATTTTCGTATTTTGTCTACAAAAGTTGGTAAACTATTTCACACATTGAATATTTTTGGATGGCCATCCGAAACTGCTTGGCTTTTGCAATGTGCGGTAACCCCCATTCAAATGTGCGTGAGGATCGGGCGATAATTACGACCTGCTGACAATTTTGCAGTTTTTTGGTCCATTTCAACCCCTAAACATTTGGCGATCATCTCCAAAAGAAATAGGGTTCTATTCTGACCCTAGCCCCACCTCCATTCTAGATTTCGTGGAGATCGGGCCATAAATGCGATCTGTATATGATATCCTGATATCCTAAATACTTAGTTTTGTTTAGCTGTAGAAATATTAACAAATGTTTAATTCAAAACAAGTAAGCAAAGGCTACAGTCGAGCGGGGCCGACCGTTGAATACCCTACAACACTATAATAAACGATACAGTTTATATAGGCGATATACTCGAAATAATTCCACAAGATATTGTGACAAATAATAAAAGAAAACCATCAAGTTTCGTTCTCTAATTTTCAAAAAATAGCAACATAAACTAATTTGCTCATTTTTAATTTATTGGTAGATGTTGCACGTAAATGGCCTTCCTAGATCTGGAACCAATATTTCCCAAAGACCTATAACCTCTCAGAAGTGGCAAAAGATTAACATTTATTATTGGTTTTTGACTGAAATGCATCTATATGAGATACAGACATTTGACTATATTTTTCAACGAAATCAGCCTTAACGAAATAGTCAGAAGTGGGTCTTTCCTGTATTTGAGATTTCCAAAAAAGTCATCGGAATGGACATTTTCGTACTTTGTCTGCAAAAGTTGACAAACTATTTCACACATTGAATATTTTTTGATGGCCATCCAAAACTGCTTGGCTTTTGCAATGTCCGGTAACCCCCATTCAAATGTGCGTGTGGATCGGGCGATAACTACGACCTGCTGACAATTTTGCAGTTTTGTTGGTCCATTTCAACCCCTAAATATATGGCGATCATCTCCAAAAAGAGTAGGCTTATATTCTGACTCTCATCTTATCCTCATGCAAAATTTTGTAAGGATCGGACCATAAATGCGATCTGTATATGATATCCTGATATCATAACTACTTAGTTTTGTTAGCTGTAGAAATATTACCAAATGTTTAATTCAAAATGAAAATATGCCAAAAATATGACAAAATTGAAAAAATATGAGAAAATGTTACAAAATCAATATTTTCAGCTTTAGAGAGAAGTTTTTATGCGATTTTTTTAGACGTTATTTATCCGATGACCACCCAAATTGGTAGGCATCTTCCCGCCCTAAACTCTAGCTACATGCGAAATTCCGCGTCGATTGGTCTATAATTGCGAGCTGTATAGCTACTGCAAAATCCGACATTTTTT